GGGCTGGTGGAGAGGCCGCGCCGCGCGGGGCCATGTTCCGCCGTGACGCGCGGACTTGCCCGTGGGGGACGTGGCAGGTGGAGAGGGACTGCCCGCGCTGCCGGCCCGGGAGCCGGGCGGGATTCCTGCCGTGACCCTCCACTTCTTTTCGCTCTTGATAAAAGTACACTTAAAATTTTTTTATGCAAACGCAAAGAGAAGAGCGAGCCTTCGGGGTCTGCCGACGGCGTCCGTCACGGGCAAAAAATCTGCGCTAAGTTTGTCTCTTTTTTCCCTCCCGGTTCTCATCTTACACGGTTATAAGCACCCAAGAGTGACGTTCAAAATGTTTATCATGTTTCGATTGGGTTTTTTGGAAAGAAAGACATTTCCAACTATCTCGCAAGGCCGGCCGTGGTTCAGAGCGCAGCTCAGGCGCAGCTGCCGGCCGCCCGCGGGCCCGCGGCTTCCACCCGAGACCTGACCTCCTCCCAGCGCCCTCCAGGGAGGCGCTCAGCAGGCCCAGAGCCCATCTCTGTCTGGCCTGAGTCAGTTCCCCCCCTGAGGCATTTATCCCAAAGAGCTGACTACCTTGATGAAAATGAATCCTTAATTTGGTTTCTGATATTCACTTTTCTCATTTTTACTAAGAAGTTTCCTTCCCCCCCAACCCTCACAATACCCATTATAGCTTTGAAAAATCTCTTAGTCAAAAGTAAACCATAACCCTAAGTCAGGTACCATTTTCAGGGTTAGAAAAGCAGCCTGTTTCTAGAAGTCCAGGGCCACCCTACACCCCCCATCCCCGCCCGATGTTCTCCACATTGTTCTGCACTTTGAGTAATTTCATAGAATTCCAAATTCATTGTGAAATTAGTAATAAATGGTCTTATACAGGACAACTTAAAATTTCAAGAACTGTAAATAGCATGCTTGGAGTCGCTCCAGAGAGTAATAGTGGAGGAATTCTCCGAACCTGGAATCTTCTTTATGCTGAAATTTGAAGCTGAAAGCCCTCGTGACTTGGGGTATTCTGGACTGTGCGTGTGTCGCGTTGTGCATCACTTTTTATTCCCACCTTCCTTGGAAAGCAGAAGTATAAAACATATCTGTGATACCAGCTCAGAAAATAACTCTTTAGCTCCTCCTGGTGATTAAGAATCCACTAAACAACACCGTGAAGTTTCTGTCCCTGTTAGCCAAGAGGTAATGCTGCTAAGATCTTATCCTAAAACATGTACAGAATAGATGCTTCAGATCAACGTGAGGAAGTGGAGCATAAAACCTAAGACATTGGAAGCCAATTACTCAGGTTGGGGAGGCTTCCGGGAAGACGTGAGCCCGTGCCTGACTGTGAAGCTGGGCCTAGAGGAGAGGGCGTTCTGGTAGAAGTATGAAAGGGAAAATTCTTGCTCCCAGCCCCTCTCCGTGCTGGGAGAGGACAGTGGAGGAGGGAGGAGGGGGCACTGTGATGAGAACTGCTAGCAGAAAACGTCATTCAACCGTATTTGGCCTCATCTTGTTACACTACCCATCTGCTTTCTGATCAAGCAAATATCCCAGCTACAACTTGAGAGCAGAATGACTGTGCATGTGGCCGCCCCCCCTGAGGTGGGAAGCAGCCTGCAACTGCAGAATGTTTCCAGCTATAAGACACCCAAAGGACCTCTGGCTCCAGGGGTTTCACCCTGGGCCTCTCTAGGCAGGACCAGACGAAAAGTGGGTGACCTAATGAGAATTCAGGTCCACTGTGGCAGAGAGAAAACAGCCGATGGGTTGATACGCTGCCCCTCAGCTCGGGGACTGCGGCGGTGTGGACACAGTGACCGGGGCCCAAGGCTCCAGTTTTTCAGACAGGAGTTGACATTTTAATTTTTTGGTGAAATGTCCTGATTTTTCAGTTTGGCAAGCAGTCGTTAAAAAAGAATAGCCCCCCTGGTTTACCAAGCTGGAGGTTGGACCATCAGTGCCCTTTGATGGAGGGATTCTAGGAGACACCCCAGGAAGGGAGGCATGGCAGCTGAAAGGCAGGCTCCCTACCTGGTGGCCAGATGGCCAGCTGTACCCCATCTGCACTTGACACTGGCTTCCGAATCGCACTGTAGAAAACATTCCACAGCTAAAACGCCCTTTGGCGACTGCTGATGCCTCCCAGCCAGCATCTCTCCTTGTCCAGGACCACCGTCTTTCCTCCACACTGTGCTTACTTTTTAAAAAAACCTTTATAAACAGAAGGTAAAACTATTTCTAGGAATCCATAGGCTCTGGTTTTGTTTTGCTTCCAGGTTGAGGCTTTCAAATGTGGCAGCGATTGCCAGCGCCTGTCACCCACAGGAGGCCCGCCGCGCCCATCAGTATTCCACTTACGCTGGTGTTTTCGCTTTTGCGTGGTGAGTCATTGAATGTTTAGGCAGAAGCTTCCCGAGCAGCACTTCTTTCTTTTTCTCCTGTGCTTTGTTTTGTTTGTGTACCTTAGGCCGTGTCTAATCCTCGGGCTAGCTCCTCTGCTTCCCCTGTGCTGCCTTCTTTTCATCCTACCGTTGTTGACCTTTAGTTGCCTATATGATTTTCTCTTGATTTACTCCACTCATTCTTATTTTCTTCCTTTGGCTTTTCCCCAGTTATCAAATCCTCATTGCTCCTTTGGGTTCTTTCCTCTACCAGACTTCCACCCCTCTTCCCTCTTGCCCCTGCTTATCCCACTGAGGACCTAGACATCACTGTGACGACCTAGACAGAGTGGACCTTAAAATTTCCACTCTGCTCTCCCCCTCAACTGCTCAGTTCCCCAGCTCTGCCACTTGGCTCCACCAGCAGGCTGCCATTAGCATGCTTGGCCTTATTCTTAAAAAACTAGTTTTTGTGGGAAGTTGGGTAATAGGCGCCGGTCAAATAACATTGGCATATATAGAAGTACGGGCTTTAAAGCATGGAAAGCCCAAATGCTCCCTATTAAACGGCTCACGCTCAAGCTAAGAAAGAAATTAGATCTCCACACCAGCTACACAACCTCCCCAGACAAAAGCAGCTGATGATCTGAATGCATTTCATAGTGTTTCCCAAAGACCCAGGAAAAGCCCAGAAAGAGGTGATTTTGCAAAAGAAGAGAGAATATTGCAAGTTCACCATTACAAAATCTAAAGCATGCCTGCGAATGCAGCCAGCACAGGTAGCATTTAGCATTTCTGTTCGCTCAAGTTAAATAGTACATGTGAGCAAAGATACAAAATGAAGGAAACTGATAAAAAAGGAAGGCAAGAAACAGGGAGATACACTAAAAATGATAAAAAGACTTGGGAAGCAGCTAATTGTGTTCATTGCAAAACCTCAAGTGATGGAGCAAGCGTTGTGGCCGCAGTTAGCTGGCGACAGGGACACAGTTAGCAAGGGTCACAGTGTGTGAAATATGAAATTGTGAAACGTGTTCTAACAAAAGTCCTTTTGCTAAGAATAAGAGATGACACGTTCGCATTGCAATGCTGCCCCAGTCACTGAGGCAAACCTTATCTAAACATTTCTGCAGAGTCACGCACAGGGCAGTGTCTGGCAAGGAGCCCTGGCCGCCATGCAGGAGGCTGGGGTTCTAGCTAGTGCATTCCTCTCCTCAGACGCATGAAGAGTCATTTCATGTCTCTGAACCCCGTTCCCACCTCTGAGGCCTGATGCAGTGAACCAGACACTGACGCTGCCCCAGGAAGTGGGGGGGACACAGACTCTTCAATCGGAGCCACAGCACCAGTGCAAAAAGGGACACCTGCAGCTCCAGGGTTGCTGGCTCGCCCACACCCTCCACTTCGCCTAATTGTAACATGCACAAGGGGAAATTAAACCATGAAATGCACGCTGGCAGATTTAGAGACAAAAGTTGTTTTCTGTAGGTGTGGTTTGTTTCAGCAAGAAATTAAAATAAATGCTATCAATTTGGTAAATGCATTAAGAAGCCCGGAAACTGAGTGCTTGACCACATTTTTGGTCTTCTGAGAAAATTCCAGTTCAGCAGGCTAAGGAACTCGGCAGAGGTGCTGAGGACTTAGCTCGCCGCCTGCTGTGGAACGAGCTCCCCGAGCAGTGCACATGCACTCATGGATGGCTCTGCCAGGTTGGTGTCCTGTCGGGGTGACAGGAGAGCTGCCCCCAGGCCGTCACCCCACTGGGCAGGCGGTAGAGCCCAGTGGTGAGGAACTAGACAGCATGTCCCCTTCCAGCCCCCCTGCTCAAGAGCTGCGTGGCCAGGACAAGTTACTTTAACTGTTCACTGCCTTGGCTTCCCCTCCTGGCCACCACTGATAATAAAAATGTAAATCTCAGAGAGTTGCTCTGAGGGTAAAATGAGCTAAGATCTCCTAACTGCTTAGGAGAGGACCAGATACGAGGCAGGGATGTGTCAGGTGTCATTATTATTAGCCCAGTCAGTCGTCATCAGGGAAACCAACGATGTGTGTGCATGCACGTGTGTGTGACTGTGTGTGCCAGTGTGCGTCCCTACTAACTGAATATGGACAATGAATTCTGTTACACGGTCCTCACTCAGTCCCCTTAAACCAGTGAGCGCCTGCCTTTGCAAAAGAACAGACCAGAGGTGGATGGGGAGAGTTCATTAATTCTTTCGCTTCCTGAGCGTCATTTCCTGGGGCATTCCTGGAGAAGTTGAAGGAGGCCTTGTGCCTGCCCTGGGCTCTGAGCTCATTCATTCACCCCTTCACTTCATGCGCCTTTGCTGACCAGGGGCCAGGAGCTGAGCAAGGCCCTTGTAAGCCAGTGGGAGGGTGAGAAGCACCAGACAAGTCACTATGACAATGTGTAACTGTCATGCAAAAGCCAGATGAAGGAGAGGAGACCCACACCCCACTGAAGGGAGAGGGAAACACTTCCTGAAAGAGGTGGAATTTGACCAGTTTTGAAAGACGGGTGGGCGTTCCACAGACAGGTTAGAAGATACTGAACGGAAGGATCTGCCTAGCAAAGACACAAAGTCAGAGGTCGGCGATCGGGGGCAGCCAGGAGCTGCAGGCCAGGAAAGAGCTTGCCAGGACCCCAGGTGTGCAGTCTGGCTGTGGGAGAATGGGCCACAAGGCCAGCCAGGCACAGGTTCAGGCCCCGGGACCACCAGTGGCCAAACCGTACAGGAGGAGCACAGCTGGCTCGGGAGCACGGCCTACGCAAACTGTTTTAAACACTTTTTTACACGAAACGTCACACAGTAAGAATCAGCGTGGGGAAGTGGCTGAAGGCCTGGACTGCAGAGCTGGAGGGCCCTGGGTTCCATAAGTCTCTACCGCTGACAGACGACCCTGTGTAAGTCGCAAGAAGGCGCCGCGCCTCAGTTTCCTCATCTGGACGATGGCGCAGTGGCGGGCCTGGCCTGGGGCGGTGCTTTAGCGCACCCGGCGGTCGCGCTGCAGCGGGGCGCCGAGGGCGGAGCCGT